GACATCTTCCAACGTTGGGGGACTCCCCGAGTGGACCTCTTCGCAAGTCCTGCCAACACAAAATGCCGCAAGTTCTGCACCAGAGCGGGCCTGGGCCACGCATCTCTAGGGGATGCCTTCCTCATGACTTGGCGCGGACCCCTCCTTTATGCATTTCCTCTCATTCCCAAGGTCCTTCAGAAGCTGAAGGCGGACAGGGCTACGCTAATCCTCATAGCCCCAGATTGGCCTCGCCAGCACTGGTTTCCATTCCTGCACCACCTCTCTGTGCGGACACCGATCCGCCTTCCGCCTCTCCACGACCTCCTCACACAAGCCCAAGGACGCCTGAAACATCCCCAGATACAAATGCTGAACCTAACAGCATGGTTCCTAACTGGCTGAACCCATGTGAATCTCTCTGCTCTGCCGCAGTCCAACACGTCCTAGTACAAAGTAGGCGACAAACCACGAGGAAAACTTACCTTCACAAGTGGCACAGATACGCCTCCTGGTGTACCTCGAACCACCACGATCTGACACGTCCATCCATTTCCTCCGTACTGGACTATGCACGGCACCAAAAAAACAAGGGTCTTGCGTTAGCCTCCATCAGGGTGCACCTCGCAGCAATATCAGCATTCACACCACCTATAGATGGCGTTTCTATCTTTGCCCATCCTACGACTAAACGATTTCTCAAGGGCCTTATCAATATGGACCCACCACGTAACCCAGTCCCTCCTGTGTGGAGCCTGGACGTGGTACTCGACGCCCTAATGAGGCCACCGTTCGAGCCTCTGGCGACCGTATCCTTACAATTCCTCACTCTGAAAACGGTTTTCCTGCTCACAATAACCTTTGCACGCAGGGTTAGCGAGCTTTCCGCCATGATGGCCATTCCACCATATACGATTTTCCGTAGCGATGGGGTAGTCTTGAGATTACATCTGAGGTTCCTACCCAAGATTGTCTCCAATTTCCACGTTAATGAACCAGTCATCTTGCCAACCTTTTTCCCGAAGCCCCATGCCTCGCCACGAGACGCGGCCCTACATTCCTTGGACATCCGCAGGGCCTTAGCATTTTACATAGATCGTACTAAATCATTCAGGCTTACGGACCATTTATTCGTCTCCCTGGCACACAGGTCAAAGGGTCAACGTCTATCTTCCCAGAGAATCTCAAATCTCGTAACCGCATGCATAGTGCAATCGTACGCAACGAGAGGGTTGCCCCTTCTGTCCCAACCACACGCTCATTTCACTAGAGACATGGCCACATCTACAGCATTCCACAGGGGCGTATCTCTGAAGGACATTTGCGGTACAGCGACCTGGTCCTCTCATGGGACCTTCGCTAAGCATTATTCTCTCTCTCTCTCTCACTCAGATGGGGCAGTGGCGACTGTGGTGCTCTCCACGGCGGATAAATAGGGTCTCCTTGCCCTCCTTCCGTTTTTGGCGACTACCGCTACGCAGTCACACATAGTGGAGCACCCGTGGGGACATCCCCGAAGAAGAAAGTGAAGTTACTCACCTCTGGTGCAGTAACTGTCGTTCTTCGAGGTGGTGTCCCCGCGGGTGCTTCACCATCCGCCCTCCGCCCCGCTTCGGAGTCCTCTCTCTCTCTCTGCTTGTCTCTTACAGACTCCGAGGTGGTTTCGAGGAACTGGCGGAGGGGCCGGACCGCGCGACAGAAAGAGCGTGAAAGCCGCGAGCCCACGGCACATGCATGGTCCGGCCAGACACTGCTAATGACAAGTCTCCGTCTGCGGCGCCGGGGCAAGCCCAGCACCCATAGTGGAGCACCTTCGGGGACACCACCTCGAAGAACGACAGTTACTGCACTGGAGGTGAGTAACTTCGCTTCCTTTCGATTTAATTTCGAAAGAACTCGACGGTAGTCTACATGCAGGGGAAGTGTTTTTGAAAAAAGGCCACTCTTTTTTAAAAAACCCTATAGTCTAGACACACCCTGTGTGTCAGTCCAAACTAAGCAGCCAGTCCAGGCAAGGCAGTCCAGCAGCTCTGTTCACTGTGCAGATCACTCTGCCTCTCTTTGGACCCAGAGTCAGTTTGCTTTCCGTGCTCCATCCCAGGCACCACTTTCTCAAACAGCCAGAAGTACTCACAGTACCTTCTATGCAGGTTTCTTCAGGCCCTTCTTAGCCACAGGCATGGCCAGAGTCTCTCCTCTCCAGGGATAATCACCAACAGCCCCTGAAGCAGCCTGCTAGATTCAAGCCCCAGCAGGCTCTCAGCAACAGGCTCTAGTTTCCAGCAGCAGCTCCAGGACTGGAAAAGGCTCCACACTAGCAATCTGGCTCCTCTCTCCAAAATGGAGCCCACCAACCGTCTCCCTGAAGGGAAGACAGCCGTTTTTCCCTCCTTTTTCCCACAGGCTCATGGGAGTTGTAGTCTCTAGGACTAGATTGCAGCACAAAGTAAAAGTCAGAGGCTCCTTTAGTAAAGGGAGTCTATACAAGTACTGTTTGTAATTATGATATGCAAACATTTTTTCCAGCTAGACACAATATTTTCACATCAATGAGCCTCCCTTTAACATTGTGATTTTAAGCTGAATCCTGCAGCTACTGATGATGCCAATATGGGGAGGGACACTAACAATGTGCATCCATTAAGGACAGTATCTTAAAAGTATTACATGTGGATTACATCTTTTTAATAGTTAATATTATGTTTTTAGATGTACCGTCCATTTGGTCTTCACGTTATACTGATTGGATTAGAGATCTGGAATGAAAAGGACCTTATAACAATTACTCACCTTTTGGATCAGGTTGTTGGATTTTTTTTAAACTATGTTCAAAAGTTCCTTCGGCACCGGGCACATTTCGACCACACAGAATTAATCGTGTAAGACATTTATTTTAATCTGTAACAATATGTGAATTACACTTATTAATTAGGTATTTGAAATATTTTGCAAGATTCTATTTGGAAATTAGAAAAAAATAACCTCAAAATGGTATCCCTAATTTTCCAGTGTAACCTAACTGGCCATTGTAGCACTGGGTACAAAGGTAGTGCAGTAACATGAGGATGTATGGCACTAGCTTGTAAAAAGGATGGGTCTATAGTATAATTGAAAACTCACAGTTAGCCCATGCTAAGTTACTCAGGATCATGGAGCGTGGGCCGTAAAGTTGCTTAATTGCAGTGCAGACTTCTGGGCTTGGGGTCAAGCACAGGCTCTAGGGTCCTGTGAGGTGAGAGGGTCTCAGAGCTCAGATTGCAGCTTGAACTGCAACATCTACGCTGCAATTTCCATCTCGCTGCCTGAACCCTGTGAACCTAAGTCAGCTGAAATCTAATTACAGTGTAGACATACTCTAAGAATGGTGGGTAATTTTTAAATCCAGAAACACCCATTTGTGATCATTTTGTGTAACCTGCATGACACAGGTCAGAAGACTACCTGTATTGATTCCTCTTTCAACTAGAGCATATCTTTTAGAAAAATGTCTAGTCTTGATAGACAGTGATGGAGAATCCATCACAACCTATAATAATTTGTCCAGTGGTTAAAGATATATGCCTTGTTTCTAGTCTAAATGTGCCTGTTATAACCCTAGAAAGCCAGTTTCCCTAGCAACCAGGACTTATGCTTTGCTTTCTATCTGAGGGGTATGAACAGTATATTGCCAGCAGTTACAAGTAACCACACAATTTTTTCTAAGCAAGTATATTTATTTTTAAGGTAAATGCATTACAGAGAAAGCATAATAAAAATAAACAGATTTAAGCACAAAGGCTTTTCTTTGTATGTTGATTTCTGAAAACCCAGTTTGATTCAGTATATGTGAGCCTCCCCAAGAAGTGGTAACCCTCTGGAGGTGCTTACAACTGAGTGCTTCATCTTAATTACAGCTGCACATCATTTAATGTGATATAGGAAATCATGTACCAGCAATGACCCTCTGCCATGTATGCTGGCCAAACTGTACAGTCTGCGACAAAGGATAAATGGACACAAATCAGACATCAGAAATGTTAACACACATAAACTTGTAGGGGAACATTTTAACCTTCCTTTTCATGCAATCATGGATTTAAAAGTAGCCTTTCTTCTACAAAGGAATTTCACCACCAATTACAAACCGGACTGCATTATGACTTTCATGGGCCCTAGGCACTTTTGCCTTCGTGGGCCCCTTCTTCCATAAAAAAAAATATTAAAAATGATTTTTGATATAACTTTAAATACTTCAACATTTTATTTTTTTCTGTTTTAGGCAAAATTTAATAGATTTTCATGGGCCCTAAAAGTTTCATTTTTTTCTGATGTGAGAAAAAAATTAAAACATTTTCTCCGACCCTAAAAGTTCATTTTTTTTCTTCTGATTTTAAAAGAAATTAAAACATTTTTATGGGTCCCTAAAAGTATCATGGGCCCTAGGCACTGTGCCTACTGTGCCTAATGGATAAGTCAGCCCTGATTACAGAGAGAAAGACTGCAGAACTGGAATTCATCAACAAATTTGACACTGTTACCCTAGACTTGAATAAAGACATTAAGTGGTTAACTCATTACAAAACTAATTTCCCCTGCCTTTAACATCTGCATTTTCACATCAAAAGCTATGAATGGGACACATCCAGACCATTTAATTATCCTCATTAACACAGTTTCTACAATTGACAGGCACTTCTTTTGCTGTCATATATATCTTGGTTTCTATTATTTCCACACCAACTCATCTGATGAAGTAGGTTTTACCCACAAAAGTTCATGATTCTATAAATTTTTGTTAGTCTCTAAGGTGCCATGGGACTTCTTGTTGTTTTTAAAGTTAAAGACTAACATGGCTACCGCTCTGAGACTTTGCAATTTTTAAGGACATCAGAGGCAAGAAACCAGTACAAAGATGACTGCGAAGAATTATAAAAAGATCTCACACAACTGGGTGACTGGGCAACAAAATGGCAAATGAAATTCAATGCTGATAAATGCAAAGTAATAAACATTGGAAACATAACTGCAAATGTACCTACAAAGTAATGGTATCTAAATTAGCTATTATAATTCAGGAAAGAGATCTTGGTATCATGGATAGGTTTCTGAAAGCATCTGCCCCATGAGTAGCAGCAGTCAAATAAGCTAACAGAAATTTGGGAACCATTAGGAAACGGATAGCTAATAAGAGAAATTATTATAATATCACGATATAAAATCTGTGAGAGACCCTCACCTTGAATACTGTGTGTAGTTCTGGTCAACCCACTCCGAAAAGATATGTTATAATTGAAAAAAGTGCAGAGGACAGAAAAAAAATATTAAGAATATGAAACCGCTTCCATATGAAGGCAAATCAAAAATATTGGGGATGGGTTAGCTTAGAAATGAGATGACTAATGAAGGCTATGATAGATTTCTATAAAATCATAAATGGTGTGGAGAAAATGTTGTTTATCCCTTCACATAACTTGAAGGGATCACCTAATGAAATTAACAGGCAGCAGGTTTAAAATAAAGATAATTTACCATTTCTTCACATAACCCACAGTCATCCTGTGAAACTCATTGCCAGATGATGTTGCAAAGGCCAAAAGCATAAGTTGGTTCAAAATAATTATATAAGTTCATAGTGGAGAAACCCAACAGTGGCTATGAGTTAAGGTGATCAGAGATGCAATTGTTCTGCTCACTTGCACTGATGCATCTGGTACCAGCCACTGTTCAAAGACAGGATACTGAACAAGATGGACCTCTGCCTAGTCTGTGCCATGTGGCCATTTTTATTGTCTTACATACCAACAACTAGAGTAGGAGTAGTCAGAGCAACAGCTCCGTCATCTCAAGCTTGAGTGCCAGGATTTTTTGAAGGCAACTTCTTGAATCAAATTACCTGTCAGATATCCTCTAGCAAAACCAGATGCTAGAAACACATGGGCTACGTCTTGAAATAAGGGATAAGGGATCTTTCGGAAAAGGCTTTATTTTTCGAAAGATCAGTATCTAGACTGGTGCTTTTCTGCGGCAAAGCTCTATGCCAAAAAAAAGCAGCAGCCATTTTTATGCTAATGAAGAGCGGAAGATTTAAATCCCTGCTTCATTAGCTATTGTGATAGGTCTAATTTACATCCCTTTTCCGAAAAAGGGATGTAGTCTAGATGTAGCCCTGATGTTTTATGGCTTAGGCTACAAGCTGGTTGCATCTGTATGCTGTTATCAAACATTGCAAAGTAGACTTCATTGAATGGTAGAAGATAAGACTGGAAGGAAACTCAAAAAGTTGGCTAGTCCAGTCTGTTTCAGTCAAGGCAGGACAAAGTAATAACTAGAGCACTGGTGTACGTTTAACCTGTTCTTAAAAACCTCCAGTGATTTTTTTTCCATCCATGAATTTTATGTGCACCAGTAATGAGGTGATGTGCACCATCAGTAGAAACAAAATGCCTAGATATATATTTTTCAAAATTACCATAGGTATGAAAGAATATTAAAGCCAGGGCCAATTAACAAGATGCACTGCTACAGGGCTTGAAGGGTAGCTCTGAGCTGTGGTACGGGATTAGGATGTGGAAGGGAGTGAGTGCTCCAGCTGGGGGTGCAGGCTCTGATGTGAGGCTGGGATGAGAGGTTTTGGGTGTGGGAGAAACTTCTGGGCTGTGGCTAAGGGGGTCAGAGTATGGGTGAGGACTCAGGACTGGGGTAGGGAATTGGGGTGCAAGAGAAGACGTGAGGAGCAGAGTCCAGGGAAGCTGATCTCAGGCAGCTCTGGGGAAGTGGCTGGCATGTCGCTCTGGCTTTTACATGGAGGGGTGGTTACAGAATCTCCACGTGCAGCTCCTGCCCCAAGTGCTGCCCCCACAGTTCCTACTGGCCACAGTTCCCAGCCAATGGGAGCTGCAGAGCCAACAGCATGATGTCCCTGTAGCTGCCCCTCCACCTATGAGTTGGAGAGACATGCCCGCTGCTTTTGGGGAGTCATGTGGAGCCAGGAAGGGAACTTGCCAACTCTGCTGCACAGTCAGACTTTTACCAGCCTAGTCAGTGGTACTGAATGGAGCCACCAAGGTCCCTTTTTGACCAGGTGTTCCAGTGGAAAACTGAACATCTGCCAACCCTATTAGGCAGCTGGAATAATCAGGAGGTGCATGGCACCTGATAGTCTCTTTTGGGGCTGTAGAGGGAACGCTGCTGTGTTCCCTGAGTTTTCAAAGGTAGTCACTAATGAGACAGCTCCTCAGTCAGTTTCTTGAATATTCTTGGATGTATTTCCTCAGGCCCTGCTGACTTGTAGAGATCTAATTTGTCTAAGTAATTTTTAACTTGTTCTTTTCCTATTTTAGCCTCAAATCCTACCTTATTTTCACTGGCATTCATAATGTGCAATAGCTATTCATTTTTTTTATTAAAACGGAAACAAAAAAGTCATTTAGCATTTCTGTCATTTCTCTTATTTGTCCCCCACCTCTCTCCCATTGAGTAGCAGGTCTAGCCTGTTCTTGGACTTCCTCTTGCTTTTAATGTATTGGTTGATGATAAACCCGTGGAGGGTGCCAAACCCCTGGCTGACCACGTCCAGGTCGGTGAGGTGGACGGCTCTGCGGAGCAGCACCCTGTTGATGTCCTTGACCACCTGCAGAGAGACACGCAAAACCAAGGGTGTCATGGCTCCTTCCCCACTCTGGCATGATAAATGCAGAAGTGGGGGCCAGCAAGTGTACCCCAAAGCCTTATCTACCAGGCTTTGGTATAAAACTTCCCCCAAGATCTTAAAAACCTAGATCTTGGGAATAAAACTTCCGCTGCCACCACCCAAATGTTGCTAAAGAAACCAGGGGAAAGATCATTTGGGAAATCTTCCCCCTAAAACAAAAATCAGGGCACACCATTAACCACTGCCAGGTTAATAAAAGAAAAGAAAGAACTTTTATTATTACAACAATATTCTGGTTGCAAGTATAATGACTAGAGAGGAAGGTAACAAAATATACTCATGGAGAAACTCCATGGGCCTAGAACTTAGTTACAAAGAAAAGCCAAAACATCTTTTAAGCAGTGCCAGATCTCAGATCCCATACCCAATCCTTAAAACAATAAAACCTAACGAAACTGCCTAAACTTTACCCTACTTACAGAAAATGAAGAATGATGTCTTGGAGAGAGAGAGACATGCTTGTCCCTCTCTGTAGCTGCAGAGAACTCACTCCAGAGACCAAAGGGAGAAGAGAAAAAAGCCCAAATTCCTTTGTCCCAGTTTGAAAAGTCCCACCTACATTCTTATTGGTCACTCCACCTGGCTAGGTGTAGTTAACCCCTTAATACCCAGGCTGCTGGCTAACCCTCATAATCATGACACAAGTGATCATGTTTCTAAAAACAGTTTAATGGCCCCTTTTCTATACTACTGTAAACAAGTTCCCCAATAGTGAAGGCAATTTGTGTGAGATCATCACATATAGCTTGGTATAGCTAAACTGGGAGGTGTACCAAATCACACCAGCTAAGTTCTGGCCCTATGTATATGAGAATGGGACAACTGCACTCTGATTATGTATATTTATCCTAATTAAAGTGATTAATATTTTAATATGGAATCACATAACTAGCTACAATTTTAACATGATCACCAGTATTCCTTATAAGGTGAGCACTTGGATGGTCACTCAGGAGATTCAAATGCTGCCCAACCGATTAGCAGAGTGCCCACAGCTGGGTTTTGTGTTTCTATTGGTGGTGCATAGAGCCGGTCCAAGGTGCGGGCTGACCAGGCTACTGCCCGGGGCACCCCATTGTAGGGGGCACCGCACGGGGCTGCCATACTGCATGAGGGCGGGGCCACGCATACGCCGGGCACCCTTGGGTGGGGCTGCGCATGCACCATGCTCCTGGGGCCCGGAGCACATGAATGGCTCAGGCTGGCCCTGGTGGTGCACATTTGTACATGTCTCAGTACACATATAAAAATTATCCCGCAAGTAGGTGGAAGATATACATACATGGATAGAAAAGATTACAGGGAACATTGATTGTCACTGCAGCCAGTGAAATATGTTTCAGCAGAGATGTTTCCAGTTCATTCTTAGGGGCAGACTTTTAGTCAGTAAGACATGTCTACACTTAAATACTGGTTAAATGAATAGTCGAATAACCTCATGAATTCTTATCGGTTAGTCGACTATTCTATAGTCCCCGAGGGCAGGGCTGGCAGCCAGTGCACTCCGGCCTCACTCCTGAGGAGCCCCCTGACACTCCACGCTGCTGCCTCTGTCTAGTGGTGGGAGGGTCTGAGCTCCCAGATCCAGCGTGAGCCAGAACTGAGCCAGGCTGCCTGCCCACCCAGCTCCTAATATACTTTAAATGCAGAGCTACAGCGGGGGTAGGTCCTGGACGCATCGCAAGCCAGGACTGAGATGAGCTGCTGGCTAGCCTGCTTAAAAAATTTACTGGTGGTGGGGGAAGGGGGAAATGTGTGTAGGGGGAAGGGGAAAATCCTATAAGCTTTTGCTTGTTGGTTAATCGGTTAATCGATTACACTATTACATCCCTAGGCTACACTAGCGAGAAGTTTGACCTTTCAGATGTCGATCTTCTATCATTCGATTTAGCTGTTCTAATGTAGACCCATAAAATGAATGCTGAAAGCAGCCCCTGATGGCATCGTCATTCTGTGAGGAGTAAGGGAAGCTGACAGGAGCATGTGTTCCCATAGGTCTCCCACTGTGTGGACACCTCCACACCTCAGTGTAAGGTAAGCCAACTCCAGCTACACATTTTGCATAGCTGGAGTTGCGTACCTTAAAACTGATCTGCCTGGTCTAGTATAGAGCAGGCCTAAGGGAATCTGTATTGGTGGGTATTTATGTTACGAAAAGATGAATATACAGGTAAGAATAAAGTGTCTTCTTATAGCTCTAACCATAGGTTTATATTATTACTCTTTATATTTAGACTGAATGCATTTATAGCTGTAGAGAACAGATGAATATTAATGGAATAGTCTATATCTTTTTTTCTGTATTTTGTATTACAGTGGTGGAGCTTATGAATATGATGGATATTCATATGGAGACAATCTCTGCACTAATTTTCCCTCAGTAGCTACTGTCAAAGTATGTGAAATATATTTTGCAATACTTACACTTTAAAAATTGATAATTTAATTAATGCTTTGCTAGTAATTCAGTTCATAGATTTTAAGCATAGAATGATGGTTAAGCTTCACATTCTGTATATTACATACAATTTAATTAAGATATCCCTATATTAAGCACAGTAACTTGAGTCAGACCAAAGCATTTCAATCCTCACAAGACTATTGTGTCCCACAGACCGACAATAGAAGGGACCAAGGTGTTACTAAGACCCTTGCAATAGCAGGGAAGAGACTAGGTGAAAGATGTCTAAGTGACCTTAGTTGATGATTCATGCCCCTTCCAAAGGAAGTAAAATAAAAACCAAATAACCCCCATGACCCTGCTAATCTGATCTGTGAACAAGTTCCTTCCTGACCTCAAATCTGGCAATCAGTTAGACCAGGGGTGGGGAACCTAAGGCCCAGGGGCCGGATGCAGCCACTGGTTTGCCTGGATCTGGCCCTTCCTCTTCGAGTGGTCCCCGTGGATATAGGATATTGCTATAGACTACACACATTTCCCCCTTCCCCCACTCATGGTGTTGGGCTCATCCCGCACTGCAGCTCGGATGCTTTGCATAGCTGTTTCTAGCTGGGTGCGTGTGCGCAGGGTGCAGCTCGCGCCATTTGCGCTCTTTGATCTTCGTGCGCACCCGGCTTCCCTGTCAGTTCCTCTTAACCGTCCCTGAACACAGAAGGAGCTTCTGATCTCTCTCCTCACAGTAGTTCTCCTTCCCTCAGGGAACCTGTAGTTAGTTAGTTAATTGTATATAGTTAGAGTTCTTTTGTTGTCCTTTGATCTTATCTACTAAAAAAAAAAAGGGAAAAAAGCAAGCCTCTTAACACCTCACTAAAGCCACGGCTTACAGCGGCTCCCTGCAGTTACCAACTGCGGATAAGTTTAAAAAAACAACAACAAAAAAACCCTCTCAGAAGGAAGCTGACAAACACCATGCCTGGATCTCTGGGCTTTAAGAAATGTAGCCTCTGCAGTGAGCCAATGCCTACCTCAGATGGGCATTCGCTCTGTATACGTTGCCTGGGGGAGAGCTACACTCCCCATACCTGTGGGCATTGTTCAAAAATAACAGCCCGTACTCGGCGTGACAGAGAGATGAGGCTCAAGATGTTTCTCCTCGATAAGGCACTGGACCCCAGGGCAGAAACCTTCGAACAGAGGGACAGAACCCCTAAGAGATGGATTTCGTCCCCGGACTTAAGGGAGAAAAGGCTAAGGATCTCCCCAGTTAGATCCCTGCCACCCGATATATTGGTGGTGGGTGATTGTACTCCCTCTGAATCTGTCCCACGATCCTCTTCATCGGGATCAGGGACGAGGGAGAATAAGGCTGCGGCGCCTCAGAGAACGCATTCAGCATCGGACACAGCCTCGGTGCAGGCAAGCACAGCCTCTGCTAAGAAGCAGCTGGCACTGCACTGCTCCTCAACAAAGCCCCGTGAAAAAGCCTAAGGCTCAAAGACCTCTACCGGCACCAGCATCTCAGCCAGCAATGTTGCTGGCGCCGAAGTCAGCTGCAGTACGGGCAACCGGTGTGCACCGGCACCGCTCTCCTCCCCACAACAGGCAGCTGTTGACAGGAGCATATCCCCTACTGTGCCTCCTGCATCTGGGAAAACCTCTCCCGTGCCATCATCCCCTCAGCCAACTATGCAGATGCCACGTGGAGCTTGTCAGTTACAGGCAGCCCCGGCACCGGCACCGGGGGAGGCAGCGTCCCAGCAACAGCTGACAATTATACCGGCACCGGAGCCGCAGCCAGACTTACGAGCTCTTCCCCAATCAGAGGTGCCTGTACCAGTTCAGGGACGGAGCATGCATCTTTCTCCTTCCCCAAGATTTTCACCTGGCCCCTCTCCGCCAGGAGGGCATGGCTCGCCTCGGCATCATGGGTACCGACGTCACAGTCCCGGGCATTATACTTATTACAGAGGGGACTCATCTTATGGCCACCCCCATTATAGGAGCTGCTATAGACGTCCATCCTATTCTCCATCATGTGACCGTTCTTATTATTACATTCCACACAACGGGCACGACAGACAACATACTAGCGATAGATCATCTAGGTGCTCATCTCCTCGTCCATCAAGGTGTTATTACAAATGTCATCGCTCTCCTCCATGCTCACCACAGTCACACTCCCGTCACTATGACTTCCAACGCCCTTTGCGCTACAGTTCACCATTGGCGAGGCACTCTCCAGCGTATCAGCACTGTGACCGGGACCTGGCTTCTTCCTCATGCAGTTGAGCGGGAACATCACGTCACTCAGACCTGGAAGATGGCCAGTTGTCTGACCAGGATGATCATCAGTCTGAAGACCCAGCCCCTGGCCTTTCACCTTCATCTTCACATGTGGCGGTCTCTCCCCCGGACTCATCCCCACCGGATGATTTTAAGCAGTTTCAGGATTTATTTAAGCGGATAGCGCAATCCCAGGAAATACAGATAACGCAGTCCCAAACAAAACAATGCCGCCTCTTGAAGAATTTGCACCCCAGGCAGAGTGCAAAGGTGGTCATTCCTATCGATGAAGCCATTATAGAGGTAGCCAACACGATTTGAAGGAAGTAAAATAAAAACCAAATAACCCCCATGACCCTGCTAATCTGATCTGTGAACAAGTTCCTTCCTGACCTCAAATCTGGCAATCAGTTAGACCAGGGGTGGGGAACCTAAGGCCCAGGGGCCGGATGCAGCCACTGGTTTGCCTGGATCTGGCCCTTCCTCTTCGAGTGGTCCCCGTGGATATAGGATATTGCTATAGACTACACACATTTCCCCCTTCCCCCACTCATGGTGTTGGGCTCATCCCGCACTGCAGCTCGGATGCTTTGCATAGCTGTTTCTAGCTGGGTGCGTGTGCGCAGGGTGCAGCTCGCGCCATTTGCGCTCTTTGATCTTCGTGCGCACCCGGCTTCCCTGTCAGTTCCTCTTAACCGTCCCTGAACACAGAAGGAGCTTCTGATCTCTCTCCTCACAGTAGTTCTCCTTCCCTCAGGGAACCTGTAGTTACTTAGTTAATTGTATATAGTTAGAGTTCTTTTGTTGTCCTTTGATCTTATCTACTAAAAAAAAAAAGGGAAAAAAGCAAGCCTCTTAACACCTCACTAAAGCCACGGCTTACAGCGGCTCCCTGCAGTTACCAACTGCGGATAAGTTTAAAAAAACAACAACAAAAAAACCCTCTCAGAAGGAAGCTGACAAACACCATGCCTGGATCTCTGGGCTTTAAGAAATGTAGCCTCTGCAGTGAGCCAATGCCTACCTCAGATGGGCATTCGCTCTGTATACGTTGCCTGGGGGAGAGCTACACTCCCCATACCTGTGGGCATTGTTCAAAAATAACAGCCCGTACTCGGCGTGACAGAGAGATGAGGCTCAAGATGTTTCTCCTCGATAAGGCACTGGACCCCAGGGCAGAAACCTTCGAACAGAGGGACAGAACCCCTAAGAGATGGATTTCGTCCCCGGACTTAAGGGAGAAAAGGCTAAGGATCTCCCCAGTTAGATCCCTGCCACCCGATATATTGGTGGTGGGTGATTGTACTCCCTCTGAATCTGTCCCACGATCCTCTTCATCGGGATCAGGGACGAGGGAGAATAAGGCTGCGGCGCCTCAGAGAACGCATTCAGCATCGGACACAGCCTCGGTGCAGGCAAGCACAGCCTCTGCTAAGAAGCAGCTGGCACTGCACTGCTCCTCAACAAAGCCCCGTGAAAAAGCCTAAGGCTCAAAGACCTCTACCGGCACCAGCATCTCAGCCAGCAATGTTGCTGGCGCCGAAGTCAGCTGCAGTACGGGCAACCGGTGTGCACCGGCACCGCTCTCCTCCCCACAACAGGCAGCTGTTGACAGGAGCATATCCCCTACTGTGCCTCCTGCATCTGGGAAAACCTCTCCCGTGCCATCATCCCCTCAGCCAACTATGCAGATGCCACGTGGAGCTTGTCAGTTACAGGCAGCCCCGGCACCGGCACCGGGGGAGGCAGCGTCCCAGCAACAGCTGACAATTATACCGGCACCGGAGCCGCAGCCAGACTTACGAGCTCTTCCCCAATCAGAGGTGCCTGTACCAGTTCAGGGACGGAGCATGCATCTTTCTCCTTCCCCAAGATTTTCACCTGGCCCCTCTCCGCCAGGAGGGCATGGCTCGCCTCGGCATCATGGGTACCGACGTCACAGTCCCGGGCATTATACTTATTACAGAGGGGACTCATCTTATGGCCACCCCCATTATAGGAGCTGCTATAGACGTCCATCCTATTCTCCATCATGTGACCGTTCTTATTATTACATTCCACACAACGGGCACGACAGACAACATACTAGCGATAGATCATCTAGGTGCTCATCTCCTCGTCCATCAAGGTGTTATTACAAATGTCATCGCTCTCCTCCATGCTCACCACAGTCACACTCCCGTCACTATGACTTCCAACGCCCTTTGCGCTACAGTTCACCATTGGCGAGGCACTCTCCAGCGTATCAGCACTGTGACCGGGACCTGGCTTCTTCCTCATGCAGTTGAGCGGGAACATCACGTCACTCAGACCTGGAAGATGGCCAGTTGTCTGACCAGGATGATCATCAGTCTGAAGACCCAGCCCCTGGCCTTTCACCTTCATCTTCACATGTGGCGGTCTCTCCCCCGGACTCATCCCCACCGGATGATTTTAAGCAGTTTCAGGATTTATTTAAGCGGGTAGCGCAATCCCAGGAAATACAGATAATGCAGTCCCAAACGAAACAACACCGCCTCTTGAAGAATTTGCACCCCAGACAGAGTGCAAAGATGGCCATTCCTATCGATAAAGCCATTATGGAGGTAGCTGACACAATTTGGCAGACACCAGCTACGGTGGCCCCAACTTGTCGCAGAGCTGATAAACAGTATTTTGTTCCATCCAAGAACTTGGAATTTCTCTTCAACCACCCTCAGCCAAACTCCTTA